GGAAAACTTTAAAGGGCCTGTGACCTTTTCATGAATACTGAGAAAAAACAGGAGTTTATTGTTGAGCAGTCAGCAGTAGCTTGGTGTTTAATAGTGGCTTATGATTTTTTTAGACACACAAAAATGAGTGAGGACTAAGTATTTCAGACACAAATGAGTTGCCTGAGGCAACTTCCAGTTGTCCTGAAGTGAAGCAGCCTTCGGTGAAGAGCAATGTGGAAGATGAGCTCAGCAGAAGAGCTCACAGGACGGCCTGGGGTTCGCGTGAGGCCTAGAAGAGACTCCCGGAGCTCAGGACCGATGTGAGGTATCGGGGCAGAGCAGGTGGCAAAGGGGAGAAGTGGAGGGAGATGAAGAGTTAAAACAAAAGAAATCAAATACACAAGAGCTGTGTCCAGGTGGAGATCCAGCTGCAGGGGAGTAACGCGAAGCATCAACGGAAAACACCCAAGAGAAGCAGGTAGCAAAAGGAACAGCCAGTTTATTTCTAGCAGCTTGCCTGAGTGAGACGTCCTCTTCCCATGTGCCTGATTCCCAGAGGACGTCGAGGCTTTCGCTCCAGCCTTTTTCTCTCCAGGAACTGTGATTTATACGCTCGGTTCTCTTTTCTGCCATCAGGAGGGTGATGCACGGCAAGATCTGTAGGGTGAGAGGCCTAAGCAGCACGTGGCACTGAACCTCCTGCCTTTCCGACCCGTTGCAGCTTTCACAAGCCAGGCCTTTCCCACAAGATCTTCTGCATCTGCTTACGGGAACGCTGGAAGCCCAAACCTCTGTGTCCTATTCCAGTCTGGCTCTCTAATATTAGAGACATACCAGACTAGCAGCAGCCTAAGCAGCCTGTCAGGGCTGTGTCTTTCTTTTCTTTTTTTGCAGATTGCTTCATGTCTGGGTTTTGTTACAGGAGCCTAAGTGGTCAGCATGAGGTGGGAAGTGGATGATTAATTCCTGAGACAGCCCGAACACCTCCCTGATGGGCTGAAGATGACGCGGTGGTGTCTGTGGTCATTAGGATGTTCGCTGAGGACTGATGTATTTCCATAGTGCTTGCATTCTGGCAGTGCTTTTAAGCAGGCTTGTAAGCGAAAAGGAAAGGATTTCGGTTATTGTGATGAAGACACAACGTGTACCTAGATGCCCCCCTAGCAGGGGCAGAGCGTGTAAATGTAACCTGTACATTTGCAAATCTGTGCAATGTAAATGTGTCATCTGTAAATGTAAATGAGGCAGGTTTTCAGGTTACATTTAGGAAGGATTCTTCAGTGGCCGTTTTAGGAGCGCCGTGAGGCTTGGAGAATTGCTATAAATTTTAAAAGGAGCCCGTGGGCTTCCCTGGCGCCCTTGCTGTTCTTCTGAATGTGCCTGCTTATTAGCAGGGCCAAAAGGAGAAACTGCCACCCGTTCTTTCCCTTTTGATTTCATATGAAGTTATTTAAAAAGGTCGTTCCTTTAAGACCCCAGCCAGGGTGGATGCAGGACAGTGCACCCAGGGTGATGGGACGACACGTTCCGACTCATGAGTTTTGCTCCCGAGCACAAGGGATGTTTCTCTGGAACAATGCACCTTAATGTCATGGTAGGAATTGCGCAGTTACCTTCTAGTTGGGAGGGCAGTAACATCCAACACCTAAGTCAATAACCTGCAATCTTCAGTGCCGTATGACCCTTCTGGGGACGTTTATGGGTCTGTATGTCAAAAGTAGTGGTGCACTGGGTCCTTTTAATGCTTTCAGACTGCGACATGCAGTTCTCTTTCTCCAAACGATTTAATCAGAGGTAATGAAGTAAGCAGCCTGGGTGCTGTGTTATATTCTGTAATATTTATCTCTTTTCTTGATGCTGACTACGACCTTTTCTGTTTACAAGAATTTCACCCCATCAGGACTCCAGTTACCATTATCAGTGCCTTGAAGGATGCTGGGGATACGGCAGACTCCTGTCGCCAGAAAAATTACGTTATTAACTTTCCAAACATCATGAGGTGACTGTTGCATTTCAGAACAATGTAACCAAAATCAGGACTTGCTCCAGAGCTACACTCTTCCACAAATGCTAAGGCTCTTGCTGCTGTTTGATATTAACTATTTTGGCCTTCAGCTGGGAAATAAATGGGTCAGGGAGAGCCTATGAAAGGCGCTTAATAGATACATCTAACACTCTGAAGGAAGCAGGAAAGCCCTGCTAAAATGGAATTGGGTTCATTGATGGTCACGGTAATATTTTAGAGTTAGTTTTTGCATGTCTGCAGAGTATATTTTGTGCAAAAGATAAGGGTAAAGCCTCTGTTTTACTGCTGCTGCTCCAAGTTGTCCTTTTTTTCCTCCAGATGGTGACATGGCTTCCTGTAAGCTAAGCAGCCAGCCTGCTCCATCCAACTTTTGCTTTACTGCTATATTTTGACATGCCAAACAAATAAGATATCAAGCAGTAAGTATAAGAAGAACCAAGAGCTACCAAAATAGCAAGAAAATAAATAAACCTTTTTATACTGGTGCATTTTAAATCCTGCCATGAGTTTCTCAGAAACCGCTTTGGCATGGATGCAAATCACAAACTGACTTTCATGCAGCGTTTAAGCGTAATTACTTAAAGATTTGGGAAAGGATGCTTTGCTTTTTAAAATACCCATTTATTACGAGTATATATTGATACACACCCCTTCCCACTTGAACTCCTCGCCCCCTCAGACCCATATCTGGCTTTTCAGTTTGTTTCGAAAGTGAATGACTGCCAGACAGAGGGATCCAACTAATGGCTGGCCAGGGTCACAGAAGGAGGTTTTACACTGTAAAAAAATGGTATTTTGTAGTCTCTGTGCTTGAATGGGAGCAGCTAAGAAAAGCTGGAGTGAAAAGAAGGGCGGAGGATAACACAGAGAGAGAAGAACTTGAGTTGTGTTGCGGGCAACTGGTAATTCTCTGTGTTCATTCTCCTCAGCTTAGCTATGCTTCTTCACAAGAATTAATAACGCTTAAACACAGAGAAGGGAATAAAGCCTTGTCCCAGATTCCGGGCATGAGCAATGCTAAGTACTTTTGCTGCTAGTGCTGTATATCATATCTAGGAAGCTGGGTCTGGAGGTAACTGATGGCCTGAGATGTCGGTCTTTGCCAATGGGAATGGGTTATGAATTTGATATGATCATGATGGCTGCGAGATTAAAGGCTGGGAGAGCTGGGCCTGTTCAGCCTGGAGAAGAGGAGGCTGAGGGAGGACCTGATCAGTGTCTATAGATACCTCAAGGGAGGCAGTGAGGAGGATGGGGTGGCCTCTTTTCAGTGGTGGCCAGCGACAGGACAAGAGGAAACAGCCACAAACTGCAGCACCAAGAGTTCCCCAGGAACTTAAGGAAACACTTCTTGACAGTGAGGGTGACAGAGCCCTGGCACAGGCTGCCCAGAGAGGCTGTGGAGTCTCCTTGTCTGGAGATCTTCCAAACCCACCTGGATGCTGCCCTATGTCCCGTGCTCTAGGTGACCCTGCGTGTGCAGGAAGGTTGGACTAGATGACCTCTGAGGTCACTTCTAACCTTAAGGATTCTGTGATTCTATGAACATGTCAGAAATTAGTTTAAAATAATAGGTGCACCTTCACCAAGCCTCCTGAGTTATTTCTAGGTTATTTTTATCAGTTTTTAATTGATCGAATAGCATGGGTTCATTCTGCAGCTACCGCGGTCTTCCAAGCTTTCAGACTCACTGCCTGTGCCCTCACTTTCCTATTTGTATTTGTGAAGCCTGAAAGGACGTAGCACATTTCCAAAGATTGTTATCCGTTCTTTAACTCCACTGGTGGAGCTCCTGTTTCTGCTTAGTTAGCCGTGATTTATTACTTTTCATGCACAAACTTCTCTCAAGTGGAGGAGCAGGAACGTGGCCACCCGTGTCCGTCAGCCAAGTACCGCAGCCCAGAGGCAAAACACACCACTCAGAAACTCATATTCTCAAACACTCAGGCCAATATTTTTTTTTGTAGACACTTTTTGGGGAATCATACCAAGCAACAGATGCATCCTGGACATCAGGATCCCTTCACGTATTGAAGGAAGTGTTGCAGTTTTACTCATGTGACCGCATGCGTCTCTCTGGCTTCTTTGATTCTGGCGTGTTTATTGGGCTTTTGACAATCTGAAATCTGCTGAATTCCCACTGAATTTGACATTTATGGTCTTAACTTTACGAGAAGATACATCAAAATATATATCCTACATCTGTACAGAGCCGCATTGACATGTGGATGTGCTTTGAGGAACAAGGGGAATCCTTCACATGAGTAGAAAGGGCTCTGACCAGGCAGCAGTAAGTGCAGAGAGACCCCCAGGTCACAGCACTTACCTGGCAAGTGCCCAGCCTTTTAAGACCACTCCTGGGTGGAATGGGATAATGAAGTGCTGAAAGCAAAAGCTTTTGCTATGTTCGAATCTTACCATGAGTGGGTTTAATGTGATTTTTGCCTGGATAACAAGTGCCAAGGATCTGTGAAAGCACCTCAGTGTAAATATATATATTTATGCTTACAAATTCGTGTTTCAACAGAAGTATATTTTGTTGAAAAGATCTTGGAAGGGGTATTTCAGAGTCCTGGCTTTATCTTTTCCTTAATCCTGGTGGCATTGCTTTGATGGCAGTGACACCTCGTGGTACCAGCCCCTGGTGCAGCATCCAGAGCTGCTTCATCTTTCCTCTGCGTGGTCAGTGCGGGTTTACGATAGCAAAAAAAGCCCAGGGAGGTATTTAGTTGATCTTTCCAGAGTTAATCCTGCATTGCCCATGGATGCAGCTTTGTACACCTGATACTGACCCTCTCCAAGCATTCATGGAGTTCCTGCATGGTGGGGGGGAGGTCTCTCCAGCTGGTCTCTCCACATCTCATCTCATCTGGCTTTCCAGGAGGAGGAATCAGCCATGATGAAGAGACTTGCTGTCTCTCCATGCCCATGAGCAAAGGAAGAGTTTGGCTCAAGGAGACAGCGTTCACCCGGGGTGTCCTCTCTCTTTCAGGGGGTTCACGAGTCGAAAGGAGTTACTGAAGATTACTTGAAACTGGAATCCCTGATCCAGAAAGTCGTTTCTCCTTACTTGGGCACGTATGGCCTGTATTCCAGCGACGGACCCTTCACACATGCCGCCTGTATTTTGGGTAAGAACAATCGTGGCTCTGCTGGCAGAGCACGGAGCGCCTCCCTGACAGGCTGCCCCACACAAGGTCCACCTAAGAGGAGACCGTGTCTGCTGTCCCAGCGTGACCAGGCTCCTTCCCAAGGCAAGGTTGGGGATGTGCCCTTAGAGCAAAGCACATCATTGTAGCACTGCTTTTTATTTTAAACCCATGAGTCTAGGGTGTATATCTCACTTTTCCACTGTACCTTTGAATGAGAAGGTTGGCCCTGTTTCTGGAGTGAAGAGCGCTGTTCCTCAGTGCACAAAGACGGTGCCAAGTGGTTTAAAGCTGTAAAGAGAGTGGGAATGGGGCCCTGAGAAGAATGCGTGCTGAGCCTGCAAACACGCAAAAGCTTTTTGCAGAGGGGAAGGTCCAAAGGAAATCTCCGTGCTGCTGAGAGAAGCAAAACAGAGTTGATCCCGCATGGCAAGGGCAGCTCCGATGCCACGGAAGGGAAACTTCCCAGGGCCACCTCAGTTAGACACTGGAATAAGCTCTTTCTGGAGCCTGGAGAAAAATACCCATTACTAGAAGGCCTCTATGCATGCCACATAAGCACCCATAAGGAGCAGGGTGGGTACACGCGGTCCTGCCTCGTGGCAGAGGGGCCGACGAGGTGACTGTTGAGTCCCTTCCAGTTTATTGTCCGTGACATCCTGAGCACCAAAGCGTTCAGGGACTCCTGCAAAGGCAAGATTAGGCCTTAGGATGGGGGTCTTTTGAAAAGCCCCTTTATTAATTGGATCTGATGTAAGTGCAAGGGAGACACTAGCAGCGCAAATCGAAAGGGAAATGTGGCAAATTGTACCCAAAGACTTATATGTAAATACAGCGATAGCCTGCTTGAATGGAGAAAGCAGAGGAGCAAATGGGTTAAATGGTGCGTTTTCTATGCAGGCAATTCCATCTGTTTGCTTGCCAGGAATGGTCATTAAGGTAGTTGATTTTCCCCTGAAGCTGAATGGAAAAAAATGGTTGCGTTGCAATAGGCACTTAAGAAACAAATCAGTTTTACGTGAATAAATCCAGGCCAGTTATAAGAAACAAATCAGTTTTACGTGAACAAATCCAGGCCAGTTATTTATGGAAAATGGTTCAAAATTACTACTTTATGTTTGTCACTTGCCATTAAAGGGCCACAGGCATTTAAATATATTCCCAAATTGATGTTTTCTGAGTACAGGCTTTTGTATGTCAGGTCCAAAAGAAAAAAAAAAAAAGTACCTAAGGCCTAATAAAATTCCAGTGAAATAGGTTTCTACAAAATAAATGTTCCTTGTGATTGCAGAAGATGGTGAGGTTGGTTGGTTGGTTCCAAGGGAGTTGAGCACAAAAGTCCCTGCTACTTTTAAATGAACGCCTCGAGTTCTGTCCAGCTATTTGGTGGTAGGATTTAAAGCAATATTTTTTGTGGGACTGCTGCCCCCCTTTCTTCTCCATCTGGAGGGCCTTCCCTTCCAGCCCAACCTCGATGTGACCAAAAAGCCAGAGCAAGCAGTTTTCCTGGCACGGTCGCACCAGGAATGCTTCTCTGAATGCCAGATCAACAAGGACAAGGTCTGAAAGTGAACTCGGCTCCCTCAGTTTTCAGTGTTGAGGCAAAACAAATCTGCAAAATGCAGTTTGAAGTGCAGGTTTTTATTTTCCTTTTGTGCAGCATATGACTAATCTCTGTCCAGGTAAACAGGTTGGTACAACTTTAGAAGAGAAGAGTATTTCTGAAGGAAACAGTATGGGCTGGAGGAGATACCGACATCTGCATCATAATTTAAAGTGGGCAGTTTATATCCAGTGACTGCGGTCACCTTCCAGCCTGTCCCTCATTCCCTTTTTGGAGACGGCAAAGAGACAGCAGCAGGCAGAAAACTCCAAAAGGGAGATTAGTCACACCACATTTTCTAATACAAATGAGTCTTAGCAGTGTGAAATCTCCCCACTAGTTAGAAAGAGATGATCTAGCTCCAGGAGAACATTGCAGTGCTGAAGTACTCGCCGAGGATCTCCGTGCTGAATTGCTGCCCTCTACTGCTCAGTGTTTGGAAAGAACCCACTTGGCCAAAAGCAGCATTAATAAAATTTCCATAGGAAAAATAAAATTTCTGAGGGCAGGTTTATTCCCCCAAACTGCTGCAACCCAGCTCACGCTGCACAAGGATCATGGTGCTCTTTGCTTGCGTGGCCTCTGAGCAGTGCTTCAAATCTAAGTTTTTTGAAAATGGTTAGTAAGAACTGCCTGCTTTACTCCTTGTGTCCTAGATTTGCAGGGGCCTGATTTTCCCGAGTTGAGTGGCTGCTTCCTTGCTTTCGTATGGAGATTGGTAACAATACAGTTTTGGTTTGATGGGAAGAAATGAGGTTTTGAGAGCACAAGTAGGGGTAAAGTGAAACACAGCCCGATTCCCTTAGACCTGGTGCAAAGTTAGCTTTCAGACACCGCTCAACTACTAGCAATTAGTGATAACCTTTACAAACAAAAATAATTAAGGGCAGAATTTCCCATTCCGAATTCATTTGCAACTGCATCTCAAGTGATATACGGTATGTAGTATTTTACTGCAGCTGCTGAAATCATATAAGGGAATCTTAGATATCATGTTTAAAAATGGCCTTTAATTCACTAAAGGGGGCTAGAAAATGTGAATCCCGTGGGTAGATAAAGCCAGGCCAAGGTATTTTAAAAAATTTCTGTGGTTTAAGAAAGACTTGAAGTCCTTAGGCCCTTGCCTCTTCTTTGTCCACACCTGTAGTTTGTGATACCATAGGAGTGGCACGTGCAGTAGATAGTGACCCGTGTCTTTGTCTGTTCCCAGAGAAGCGGTACTTCAGGCGCTCCAAGTCAGGTGACATCCTGGCCAAGAACCCCGTGGTGAGATCCAAGAGCTACAACAACCCGCTGCTGACGCCCGTGGCCGAGTACGAGAGCGAGGCCATCGCTGCCAACGGCACGGGCATCCGGAGGCACTCCGTTTCCGAGATGACCTCCTGCCTGGAGCTCCAGGGATACTCCAATCTCACCACTATCATGGACAGTGGTTCCAAGAGCTCCGTGACGGCCACAAAGAACTCGCTCTCAGGAGACCAGGAAAGGTCTGGCGCTGGTTCAGTGCAATGTTCCAGCAAACTCAACGCAGCTGAGCCACCACAAAAAGGACTGTTTCACCCTATGGATGACCCACATAGGTCTTTTGAGCTGGACAGGGACCCTGCCTTGATTTCGGTTCCTTCTTCCAGCCCTGAGAATATAGTGGATCAGATTTTGGAGTCCATCGACTCCGATTCTGAAGGTATTTTCATAGATTTTGGCCGAGGCTGTTCCAATTCGTCGGCCTACAACGTGGACGTGAACAGACAGAGCATCATGTGAAGGTGACGTCAGGGGACAGAGCTTGGGTTTTAATATATTCTACATGGAAGTTACTAATGCGAGCAGTCAGACTGTGGGTGAGCTGTGTATGCCTAGGGACCAGCCCCTCAGGTGCAGGTCACCACCACTGCACTGAAATACACACTCGGAACAGGTGACAAGAGGTGGGAACAGGGGAGAAAAACCCCCGGCACCTCGGTACCCACCTGCTCTGCGGTCTCATTTCTTACTGTCTTTCTAAACATGGAGATTCACAAACTGAAAGGTGTCTGGCAACTTGCTCTTAGTGCTCCTGGCAATGTTTGCTCGGTAAGAGAGCCTACCAAACAGCTGTGATCACTTTTACCTACTTCAAGAAATTCCTGTAAAAGTTCAGGTTGTTCTCTGGACAGTAACATCTCAGGCAGAGCACAGAAACATATTCTTAAAAAAAAAAAAAAAAAAAAGAAAAACCAAAAAGCAAAGTTTGTGGCCCTTCATGCCACAGAAAACAGTGGTAAAGAAGTCTTTTAATCTTTTACTGTACATCTTGTATGCACTCCCAGTGATGACTAGAGCCCTTGGGAAAGGCAAATAAACAGAAACGTGCTACCTGATGCCATGCAAAGGCTCTTGTCTTAATGTTCTGTTTCCCAGCCAGTGCCTTGTGCCTGGGAGAGCATTGTCTTCAAACTGGCCCTTAGGACCGTGTTGCATTGCCCTGGGTGTACTTAACATGGCACTGCCAGGAATTCTGTGCACCGTCAGCTCCTGCGGTGTCTGCTGTGTGGAGAGCGTCCAGCACAAGCCAAGTTACTCGTTTCCTCAATAAATAAAAACATGCAAAATGTTTTCGTGGCAAAATCCTCATTATATAATTATGTTCTTAAAGGAATACTGTAGGAATAAGGAATATATTTATGTTCTTAAAGGAATACTGTAAATTATGTATTGATAGTTGGGGAGTGCGAGCCTTGTAGTTGTTCTGATCCAGAACACTCTCAGCCCTTTGATTGTGCCTAGCAGTAACAAGCTAGAGCATCCGTGCCAGTGGCTTTCCAGGGGACTGATACACATGCTGCTGACTGGAACTGGCAACATTACATTATTTTTATTATGTTTGACCCGAGGATTCTGCAGGAAATGAAGAGCAAGTTGCCTGCTGCAGGGGACTGCTTGGCAGGACTGCTCACCAGCGGGTCGGGCGACACCTCGGGCTTTGGTACAGGTGCTGCAAGATCTGCCAGCTCAGCTCTGCGCCTGCACTGACACTCACCAGACTGCCACAAGTTTGGATTGCATTTCCAGACTCGAGGCTTGGCTTTTGATGCTTCGTTTCTGTTGGCCTCATTACTTGGTCTTCTGGAAACCATTAGCTCAGTCTCTTTGTGCCTTCCTGCTTCTCTGCTGGAGTTTTTGGGTCCCTAATGGATGGGCAGGCTCCCCTTAATACAGAGATTTGGGAGACTCAACGGAGGAAGGAACTGCAAGGAGGAGGCCAGGGTTAGGTGCCTGTCATGCTCCTTGGTGTCCGCTGTGTTCAACTGCCAGCCCTCCCCTGCAGGTAGGCACTGAAGTCAGGTTTAAAAGCTCCAAGAATAAGGAAGTTCTTCTATGCCTCAACAGCCACAAACCTAGCAAAGCAGGACATCCTTGAGCAGGATGTGAGCGCTTCCCAAATTCTTAGGTCAGAAAAAGGGATTTTGCAACCTTGCTTACCCTGGCAGCAGGAAGACTATAGGTTGGCTTACGTTAACAGCACACATATACAGACTTAGGCCCATTCATCAGAACAACGTTGGGGGCAGGAGGGGAGAGATAAGGGGAAAAGAGCAAGGCCAGCCCCAAAAGGTGTGACTACCAGCTGGGACAGAGTGGAGGGAGTATTTAAGGGAATGGAGCGCAAGTGTCTTGTGAGTCATCTGTTGCCTCTGGGTGGTGGTGAGTGTGTTCTGCAGTGCTGCTGAGCCAGAAGGAAGAGGCTCTTACTTATCCCCTCTGGAATGGTAAGGATCTGGGTTTCCTGGAGTTGCAGTAGGTTAACCTGATGATGCTAAAATGGTATTCCATTTGTGGCAGTTGTTCAGAGCTAACTGAGCTCTGTTTGACTCTCCCCAAGCAAATGTGTTGGATATAGAAGTCTGCTTTATCTGCTCTGCAAAGGCTTTTCTCAGGGTAGTTACTGAAGAAGGAGCAAACTCAGGTTGAGAAGACCAGCTCCAGCTGCATCTAAGGCCTGCTTATTAGTTAGAGAAAACATATAAACCCAGCAGTTCTGCTAAAAAGAGTCTGAAAACCTCAAGTTGAAGAGAAATTCCCTCCTGCAGTGGTGACTGAGTGGCTTTTATCTCTGCTTCAAGTTTATATCAAAACATGTAGGTGGTGGCTATGACTGCAGGAGCATTCCCTGTCAGCCCGTCCTCTCCATGCTACCATCAGCTGAGGCATTTCACATCCCAACCCCTTAGATAAGGTGTTTGCTGCCCTTCCCTGCTTGGGATGGGTTTCCAAGCCCTCCGAGAGATATACTGAGCACCTGCTGGCACTTACTGTTCCTCTCGTCAGCGCTGCAGGGTGAGCTCTGCAAGCAAAAGGAGCAGCGACACCAACACTGTGAGTAGCTGCAGAGAAATACTGCAGCTCCCCAAAGTACAATCAGCACTAGCAGAATAACTGGTTGTGAATCACACTGCCCAAACAGGGACCGTTTTGCTTGAAAACGGAGGAAATGTCTTCCCATTTTTCAGTTGGTTCCTGGCAAGCTTTTCTGGTCGCTGCTGTCACTGAGACAGACGTGCTTGCTGGTACCAGCAGCTCCCGTAGGCTGCTGGCTGAACCATGAGCTATTGGAGCTTGGGAGCTTACATATGGGCAAGAAGAGCAACCATCTTGGCCCTTTTGCTAAAATTCAGGTCCAAAATATGTGCCCTCAGGGGCATGGGCTCTGCAAACTTGTGACTTCTTACTCTGCATGACACAGTGGCAAGGGAGCTGGGAAAGTGGCAATGCCAACACATGTTGCTGTGCAAAAAAACCCCATGTGCTGCCACCTGGAAAAGCCAAGGGGCTCGGTCGGCACTTGGCGGAATGAGGATGTGGTGGAACAAACAGACCTTGTGTTGCTAGTTAGACTTTCTCCATCCTAGTCTTTCATCTCCTTCGTGTCCCTGAGCTCTGCAGTGTCATTTCAGAGCTGTCACTTAAGAATTCTTCCCGAGAATCAAAAGTTTGAGGGGGAAAAATCCTCAGATACCACTGGAGGTGGTGATGCCACCAACAACGTATGCAGCTCCTTTAAGAAGTCATAAATCCTCAGCACCACATCCTCCAGGAGAATGAAATTTTTGTTTTATAATTGGAGGCCTCTTTGCACCTTTCCCCAACAGGAAGAAACCCCCCTCACTGTTACTCTCACCCCAGCAGTGCTGCTCATACCTGAACCCACGTTTTGGAGACTTGCAGGAAGGGTTCAGCTTTGAGCCCCTTGTAATGCTGCAATCACCTGGGTGTCTTAATATTCTTCAGGCAGCTAATACAGCTAGTAATTAAACAGTGGGAGTAGCCTGTCCTTTCCCAAATGGTCCTTGTGGTGCCTAGTTGGATTAGCAAGCTGGATTGCCTACCTGAGAGAAGAACCCAAAGCTGGGGAGCTGAGCAGAGAGAAGAGGGAAATGGATGTACATGCAACCCCAGCAGCGGTTGGGCTAGAACCAGATGTTTAGGATTTGTTAGTTTTCTCGGGAAATTAGATATTTGGGTTATGTTTTCACTAGGGAGGACCTGTGCCTGTATTCTCACGCGTAGGAATTTCAAACTCTTCCCCAGTACAATGTCCTGAGCAGGCTTATTGCATAGCTTTAAGGCACTGAAAAATGCTATATGGCAATTACCTCTTCATAATATGGGTATAGTAGTCTTCATCTGTCTTCTTGCCTCTTTAAGTTGTCAAGTGCCCTGTAAATTGTCTGTTGCTTGAAGCTTCGGAATAAAGTGCATGCAGCTAGAGGCGGTGAATTAGGAAAGGTGTGTGCTTAAATCAGCAATGCAGCCCAAACTTTTAAACTCTGTTTAACTTTGCTACTGTCGAATTCTTGCTGGAGCTGCATCTCTGATTTGGGTCTATACATGCTGATGCATTCTTATTTATGATCCACTCTTCATCTCTCCTTGCACCTTGTTCAGCTTTCCTCCTCGACAGCCTCCTCAGAGGCACATTTACAAAGACACATTTACAAAGGAAATCAGCTCTCTGGAGCCGATCTAATACTCTCAGCTTTCAGCACTTCATTTTCTTTCTTTTCCATGTGTTCTTACCAACATCAAGCTGCTTCTGGCCTATTATTCTAAATAGTTTAGATCTCTCTGAAATTCTATCATGTTCTATACTTGTTAAACTCAGTAACCCCAGAGAGCAAGTATTTCTACCTCATGCTTCAATCCCTCTTTTCCATCACTGAGTAAATACATTAAGCAACACAGCAGCTCCTCAAGTAACTTATGAGGGCTTGCTGCTCATCTGCTGCTGAGGAAAGTCAACGCTGCAACCTCTTTACTTTCTGCTCCTTAGACAGTTCTTGATCCATGACAACATCTTAGCTCTGACCTCATAGATATTTTTTTTAGCAATTCTATGTAGAAGATCATGGGAAGTCTAACTATCAGCCAGTCCTCCTTTTCCACCACTAGACTAACATCTTTAAAAACACCAGAAGGCATTGCACTTGACTTCCTCTCAGCAGGTCGAGGGAGGGGATCGTCCCCCTATACACAGCCCTGGGGAGGCCACATCTGGAGACTGTCCAGTTTGGGGCTCCCCAGGACAAGAGCGATGTGGAGCTGCTGGAGAGAGTCCAGCACAGGGCTATGAGGAGGATCAGAGGCCTGGAACATCTGCCATATGAGCAAAGGCTGAGGGAGCTGGGCCTGTTCAGCCTGGAGAAGAGAAGGCTGAGGGGGGACCTGATCAGTGTCTGTAAATACCTCAAGGGAGGCAGTGAGGAGGAGGGGGCGGCCTCTTTTCAGTGGTGGCCAGTGATAGGACTAGAGGAAACAGCCACAAATGGAAGCGCCAAAAGTTCCACAGGAACTTAAGGGAGAACTTCTTCACTGTGAGGGTGCCAGAGCCCTGGCACAGGCTGCCCAGGGAGGTTGTGGAGTCTCCTTCTCTGGAGATCTTCCAAACCCGCTTGGATGCAGCCCTGTGCCCCGTGCTCTGGGTGTCCCTGCATGTGCAGGGGGGTTGGACTAGATGATCTCTAGAGGTCCCTTCCAACCTAAGGATTCTGTGATTCTATGAAAGGACCCACACAATAGACCAGGGAGCATATGGTGCCTCTACAACAGCAATCTATGGACAAAGAAGGAGAGGGACACCACCTAAAAAACATTATAATTGCTATTGCCAATAAAGATTGACCCCATCAGAGTCAGTGGCTGGTGGTAGGAACATGGATTTATCCGATCCACAGCTATAACCTAGTTATTCTGGATTGCAGAACACTTTTTAGCTGTGGATTTATCTGATCCACAGCTATAACCTAGTTATTCTGAACTGCAGAACACTTTTTAGTGGAAAGATCCAAAGAAGTGGCCCTGCAGGATCCTTTCATCCCAACAGAGAACTGTGTAGGCCAGTCTCACATAGGTTTGATATCACTCCGCACTCAAGGAACCAGGGGCAAGGCCATAGAAATCCCACAGAAAAACACGAAAAAAAATCTTGGTCCCAAGACTGACTGCTATCCAGCAAGGTTCCTTCTCCAGGAATTACCTTTAGACTTTTAGGCTGG